TGAACATCGCCACTGGAATCTAACACACCCGTAAATGGGGCTACATGTATTACAGGACTGACACGGATGGTGTCCTTAGGGGTTACGACTTCCCTGGTTTCCTCCCCCGGGGTGTTGGTCCTTCGCATTGCCCGTGCGAACGAATCAACGAGACGGTCTTCCAACGATCGTGGCTGGTCTTCAGGTTGCGGGTTCAACGCTGTTCCAGCCGGCCGAGCATGCCGGGGATCGCCTCCATCGGGGGGCATGTCCACGCTCTCTGAAGCGGGACGCTTTTCTTCTTGTTCTTTCATCTTCTGTTGTACTTTCTTCTCCACCTCCTCTTTGATGTGCGCCGCTAATGCTTGGCGATCCTCCTCAGTATAGCTGCTGAGGTCGAGGGCTTCCTCCATAATCTACTTCTCTAGCCGACCCTTTTATAGCTAGCCTCACCTCGGGATCCCGTATGATATCAGCACGCTAGCGTGTTAGGATGATCCGAACTGGGGGTAGCTTGTCGCAAGACGTGTGTTGAATAGGGTGTCGGCAACTCGGCGAGCTCGCGCCAAGGAGGAAAGACGTGTAGGGTTTGTTGCATAAACTTCTTCTTCACATGAACTCACATGAACTTACATAAAACACACTGAACGCACGCGTGCACGCACCACCATGAGGGGGCGACGCAGTATACAACAGGGGTACCTTGCACATCCTGTAAATACATTCCACGTACCACACAATCCTACAACCATTTGGCATTGCTACAAGTATATCTATCATTTCCTACATGAACATAATTCATTTTCCGGCGGTCTTGCTTCGGACTGCGGACTGGATATGTGGACACTCGTGCCAGCAGACCAGGCCTGCCTGAGGATGCCCCTGAAATGACGGGTTTGTCAGAGATCTGGAGCTACATTAGTATATTCTTAATGCATACTATTGTCCGACCTCTTGTTGTGTGCAAGGTCGAGCCTCTCTCCGCTTGTTTCAGTTTGATTCCTCCTTTTATGCTTGCTTTCTGTCTCAGTCTCTCGCTATCGCTCACTCCCAGGCAATATTGAACAAGAGGCAAGAGGGCGTCTGTACATGCCTGCCTAATATCGCAATACCGGAATGGTCACGATACTCCTAAAAGATATAGACCACCCGCCCAGGTGGTGCTGTATCTTTGTCCAAGGTCCAAATACCATGACATTCACAGCCGCAGTTGTCCGTATGATGTACTGTACGGAGTTCGAATTGCACTCACTCCAGAGGATGTGCTTCTTCTGTGGAATCAATCCTCTGCATTGCTGTTGTTTGTCTGGTGCGTGTTTACGCACATCATTTCGCAACGGACGCTAATCCGGCCTTTTTCGTCTCAACCATGTTGTCATGGGTATCCGAGCACAGCCATCAACCCGTCGGAATCGCACTCGTCCGTGTTGCTCACCACGCACAAAAACTCATCGCCCTTATCAGATACTGAAGAGATCTTTCACCGACAAACAGAACCAGCAACTGCTATGGACTATGCACAGGCACCATGGCATCAGGCATCGGGCACCATGATGATGGTGAAATGGAGGTATGACATGCTCTACTTCTGTTAGCTAACAGCTGAACAACGTACCACCGCGTCGTCCATCTATCGACGGAAATGTCTCGGGCCTTGACGCAGGGTTACGGATGAAAAAATCCCCGTTCCGATCCGAACATTTATTTTTTGTTGTTTTTTCTGGGAATAGACTAGACTATATGTGGAATCCAACGAATAATACTCCTGCGGTAAACCTACCAAATAATACCGCTTAACTTGATTCAACAGATGTTTGCGGTCCTCAAGTACGTTGGTTGCTCATCTTGCCAGCCCTCCCGCCTGCTCCTCTCACCCCACACACCCCACAACACCACACACCACCTACTCAGCTTCTTCTACCACTCCATCAGCATCGATACCCTCGCTTACAGTAACAGGTCAGTCTCGCGCACGGTCACAGTAGTGGCTATATTGCAGCAGCGGAAGCACTACATGCAGCAGTAGTACCGCAGTGCTGTGAAGTTGCACCGTCTCACGCCTGTTCATCGATGCTGTCTGAGGTGGGTGGGTTTGGACCACAAACAGGCAAGAGGATAAACCTGCAAGATCGTGTACAATCCGCGACCGCGGCAGTTGTTTCTGCTTGATCTCGTCTCAGTGTTGTTTCTGCTTGTTCTCGTCTCAGTGCGCACTGCTGCAGCCCCAGCAGTGTGCTGTGCGTGTGTTTTTATTATTAGCATCGACCGCGCTAACCGGCTGTGACCAATGAAAAGACGTCAGTCTCAGTGTGGTGTGGTTGGTAAACACAAAAAAACACTTCTATCTGCCATGAACTGGGCGCGTGTGTGCCGCATGTATGTGTGATCGGAAACCGATCAAAATGAATCAAACACAAAAATAAAGGAGGACGCTCCCCACACCCGCCGGAAGAAAAAATCATAGGGTAACGTACCAGCACCAGGCACTACGCACCAGGGCATGGGAGTAACGGAGCAAACTGGCAACGAGGCGGCAGATGCGAGCACAGCCAGCTGTACAAAAACAAACACAAAAACAAAAGCAACAGCAAGAGCGAGATCGAGGTACCCAACACAGCAGAGTAGGCAGGGAGGAAAAGAAACACAACGCAGAGGCCGAAGGCAATACAAAGGACATACACAAAGGAGTATAGCATATTGCAGGAAGGGAAACAGCGCGCAACAACATCAGCCGGGTACATAGTTCGCGACAAGTGCTGCGTCGGCCGCCCTACTCGGTTCTACAGCAGTGGTGCCCGGTCGCCGTTTCTTCCCCCCCACCGCCGCATCTGACGACAGGCATCACAGACTTTCCTCCTCTCGCAAGTGCCGGGGGGTACGTACCCGCTTGCAACACAACCACAGCCATGTACAGCGTGTTCCAACTCACTGTTGTGGTCAACGCCCTCTGGTTTATGAACAAGCGGCACCCCAAAGACAGGACCAAGAAGTCAACATATAACGCAAACCTGCTGTTGCTCCTGCTCACTGGTCGACTCTTTCGTGCGCCTTCAGGAACAGCATCTACTACATCGAGCAATGGCTGGAATGAGGTTCAACTCCACCCCTGCCGTCATCGCCGCCGCATGCCTTCTGGCGTCCTACCAGACCGGCGTCCAATCTCGCCACCTTCGTGCCCTTGGTGCCGATTCCGACCGGTGAGTGGGTACGTGAGTGGGTTCTATTAGATAAAGCTACACCGTTAGACTAGACTAGTCAGCGCGCTGACTAGTCTAGTCTAACGGTCGGTGTAGCTTTATCGTACGACGAAAGGTATGCTACGAGCTCATTTTCACCCGGCTGGATCACATTTTGGGTTGGGGAGTGAGGAGAGATCTTCGGGGACGGACCCCTCGCCAGACGCTGCCAGAAATACTTAATGGTGCTCGGGAAAGTGACCAGTCGGGTTTCGAACCCGTGCGTGAATCCTTTATCGTCAAATGTTGAACCATTAGCCAAGTCGGACTCGTCTAATGGTTTAGCATGTGGCGATAAAGGAGTCACGCACGGGTTCGAAACCCGACTGGTCACTTTCCCAAGCACCATTAAGTATTTCTGGCAGCGTCTGGCGAGAGGTCCGTCCCCGGAGATCCCTACTCACTCACAAACCCAACAAGTGATCCCGGCGGGTGCAAGTGCAAATGAGCTCTGAGCATATCTTTTATTAGATAAAGTTACACCATTGGTCTAGTGTGTCATGAGAGGGCTGGCTCATACATTCCCTCTTGTGTTTCGCTCGTGGGCCACAAGTCTACGCAGCAAAATTGATTTGTGTAAGCATACGGGATGAAGTATTCAATCCATGATTTGATTGAGGGTGAGGGATAGGGATAGGGTCTGCGTGCCCTTCCCTACGACTCATGCAGTACTCTGGCAATTTCTTCGCTTCCGTATTCTGCAATATCTAAATTGCCGATCGATACCCCGACAAAACAGGTGGATGTTGTTGTCTTCCTCCTTTTTCGAGTGTTTTTTGCACAAGTATTTTGCGTAGAAGACGAAAAATAATCTGCGAAAACGTGTAATATTTGTTACCTCTCCGTGCAAGAACTGAAAAAAATTGCACGTGAAATATTGTTGGGAAGTTAATTGTTGCCTTTTCTTTGCAATAAGGGGTAAAAATTGCACGTGAAAAATTGGTGTTGGAAGCGTCGAATGTAGACTATCCTTGGTTGGTTGTACATTACTTTTGTCTGATTCACAACACACATACTCCTCCACGTGTGTGTACCAACCACACAGGAATTACACCCATCTGGGATGCTTCGTGGACAAGAAGAGCGACCGCGTGATGGGGCACAAGATTACCGATGAGGAAGTCGACACGGAGGTAAGACATCAATCAAGTACCACTGGTTTGCTCTGTCGCGTTCGCCGTTTCTTTTTACTCCTCCCTTCCCGCGTTGGCCAGCTGTCTGGTCGGAATGGTGCACGACTTTTTTCAGCCGAAGTGTTGAACCAATATTGAACAGTACGTACGTCTAGAACCATCTGCACCGAACAACATATTCGCCTGATTGAGAGCGAAGTATCTGATTGAGAGCGAGAGCCAAAAAAATTGAAATTTCGGGTCCAGACGCCTCTTGCCATTTCTTGGCAAGTAGGGGACGGGCTATTCCAAGAAGCGGTGCAAATTGAAGGTCTCATCAGCAGCTTCGCGAGCATATGCGTGTCATCGTCATCGGATGCTGCAGCGAGGAGCTAGACAAGTTGCTAGATTTGCCCAGATTGGCTATTTCTGCTCAAACTGTTTCAGGGCGGTATCGCGTCGGGCGGTGGGCTCTGCTGTAGCTTCTGCTCCCCGCTGTAGCTCCACAACGAGAGACTCCCACAGGATGACCAGGGTAGCGGCTTGAAGCTACGGGCTAGCCCTTCAATTCAAGCTACACAGCAAGCTCCACCTCTCAGTGGTAGTCCGGCTACAGCGTATCGCGCAATCTCGCTCTCAATCAGATGCTACGCTCTCAATCAGGCGAATATGTTGTTACCGGTATTCGCATTCCCCTCGATTTCTCTCCGTTTTTGTTTTTTTTCAGTTCTGCTACGACTACTGCTTGGAAGAGCACGCGCCCTTGATGGCTACCCAGTGGGGGATCGAGTGCTGGTGCGCCACGGAGGTTGACGTGGAATACGAACGACACGGAGAGGCAGAGGAATTGTGCGACTACAAATGCGGGGGAGACAAGGTACGAAGCGCTTCCAATAATATGATTTTGTGCTAAACGAGAGTCAGTCGTGCTTGGTTGTGTTCATGGTAGACTTGCAAGTTGTATGCCTACTTTTCTCATCCTTACCTGCCTCCATGCCCTTCTCTCGTCTTGCTCCCTCTGCCTGTATTCTTGCGCTACTGTACGCAGACCGAAAATTGCGGCGGCTACAACGCCTTCGACTTGTACGTGATCGAGTCGTTGACCACCATGTGAGACTTGAAAACTACTCGTGTTGTCTGGCGCACAGAGACACCCCGAAAGAACCATCAAATTCCGAGTCAAATAATATCAAGAGTCGACTGCAATTAGGGTATGAAACACGGGAATGGTAGTCGAGTATTATGAGCATGTAGGAATCGACTACGTTGTGGGTGGCAACATTCCCGATATCATGCTTCATTTTTTCGTTTCTATCCAATTGCGCGAGTCCCAAACCAGCGGGTGGGATTCTTTCTTCACCGGCTTAGCCGTAAACGCCTACAAAAGGGTTTTCGACCCGACGATGATGTTCACGTACACATCCGCCTTTTCCGTCGTGTATTTTCACGCGGTGGCTTGTCCTCCCCTAATCTCGTCGTTTTCCGTCGTCCGTTAGAAATACCACTTACTTGTCACAAAGCGCGCCCACGTCCGCTTGCGGATGTTTCCTTTTTAGAACGGGTCGATCGAAGATGCATGCTGATAGCCCGTGACGCTCAGGGGTACATTCGTTGAAAATCTGGCTAAAGGTTGAATGTACGCGAAGACTTAACGACTTGTTTTGTGCTTGTGCTTGTGCTTCCCCGTCCGCGACCGGTTCGATTCATAACCACAGTGAACGGCCGGACGGCGCCATGAACGACGACATCGTGAAGATCATCGACGTCCCTGGTGACAACCCCGGAGGTGCCGGCTGGGCCGACAGCTACTCGGTCGGAAGCAAGTGCTACATGTCGACCACGTTCGACCACGGCATCGGAGAGGAACTCGTTGACACCCCGATCGGCGAGATGAAGATTAGGGACCTGTATGACATGCTCGATAAGGGGCCTGGATCTGCCGGCCACCCTCTCTACAACGACATCCAGTGCGGAAACGGCCCCGCGAATGACGCTGCTGACGAGACCAACTGCCCCGGGTTGGTGATGGAAGGCCCAGAAGGCTGCGGCCAAATCGGTCCCATGTGGGATTTGTCGGAGCTCGAGGCGTAAACCACCCACCCGCATGTTGGTAGCGTATGCGGTTCGGCTGATGGGTTTCTGCACGTGTATTTCGGCACAAGGGCGGGGCTAGTCGCATATAGCCAGACGTTCATGTGTTCCTGGCGCCAGGTCTGGTGCCCGGTAGATGGTTTCTCAGCATTGTTCATGGGGTTTGTGCTGTTTTTTGACAAGTGAAGTCAAGTGGTGGAACAAATGTTCCTCTGGTGTTGTGTGGACGGGTACGGCGGGGGGAATCCATGTATTTGACCTCAAGTGGAGAACAAATGTTCCTCTGGTGCTTTGTGGACGGGTACGGGGGGGGGCATCCATGTATTTGACCTCGGGTTGTGGGGCAGAACTTTATCGGTTGCCGTTCCATGGGAACTCTTGAAAACAGTGGTGCTGCACTTTCGCCTAACTTGGATGATTTCGAGTTCAGGCATTTTTATCCCTCTGCTCGTCATCCTTCCACAAAGACTCTGTAGGGCAAGTGGTAGCCCTTGACGTTTCATGGGGCAATTCGTCCGAACGGCCTACCGTCACGCGTGTAGCAACCGTCGTTTGCGGACACGACACTTAACAAGGTTGCGAGAAAAATGGGAACTAATTTTGAAATGGGAATGAACACCACCCCCGTCTTGTGTTCACCCTTTGGATTTAGTTATGATCGAAAGCGCTATCGAATCTTCTCCGCGGGCAGAAACAGTTCATACAGGCGTTGGTGTCCACGCCTGTTGTTGCCATGGCGAAAAACATCACGGGAGACAGACGGAACGTGTTTTCAGGAGGAAAGTAGAAGAAAGTATAGCTTCGGTGATTATCCGGGAGAGGGTGTGATATGAAACGTTGCGAGATTCAATGCCATATCATAACTTTGAGATGTTTTCGGAGCATTTTCGGCGGTAGAGATGCAGGGTGCATAAAACATTCATAGTAAAGACATGGTGGTGGAGAGGAAAGGCTCCTCTTCCCCACGTAGGTTAAGTACGCGAGTTTGTGACCGAAGTGCTATCCGTGTGTGTGTTAGACCACGCATTCGGCGACCTAAGGTAAACGAACCCGCTTGAGTCTCGCCGCCTCCCGATGCCGCCCCACAGTGTTGATTTATCGTACAAAGACTAAATGAAGCACGGACAGCGAAAATGCACATACACACACCAGGCACGCGCGATCGAGGCAAATCACCTTGCCTCCTCCCACAGGCAAAATGTCCGAGTACTATGAAAAACTCCGGTTAGAAAGCCCTGGAGGTCACGCTAAAAAGGTAAACGACTGTCGGATCCACAAGCAAGCAAGGTACATCCACCAGTAACGAGTCGTCTAACGAATCAACTACTCCGTCCTCTCTTGCCCCCTACGCGGTCTAAAATGTGCAGCCGTCAACAGCACGCCTGGCGCTGGAGGAGGTCGAAGTGCTGGCGTAGCACTGCTGCGAGGGTTAGGGATCGGGGTGGTGGCCCTCTCGGGCGGTGGGGCAGTGGGAGGCTGAAC